TGTTTGAACCTTGGACCGCTAACTAGCTGAACCCTACGGTACCGACGTCCACTAATTAGGTGTTAAATCACTGAAAACGACTAAATCTCGACGTGGGAGCTATGGGATTCAGTGTTTACTGTGATTTACACTAGTATGTAGTGTAACGTTTTGTAAAGGTGAGAGCTTATTATATGGAATCTATGGATTCTAAAAAATACTATTAGATGGAATCGCTACTTTCTCATAAAATGTATAAGTCAATTATGAGGTCAGTATCTAAGTATTAGTAATTAAAATCTGTACTATACGCATATAAATTGTAGTGAATATTTACGTATCATGTGACGAATTAATAAATATCCACTGGTACTATACTTTACTACAATATATATGGTACGAGTCGTACCATGTAATAATAAGATATTTTATTATAATACCAACTATCAAATGATGTAGTATATTTCAAAATTCGATTTTCTGAGGTATTGTAATAAAGCGAGGAAACAAATTAATATTAAATATTTATTTTTTAAATAACTAACAATTATATGTGGCATTTCCTTTTTATGTAACTTTTCAGTCATTTTGTCAAAATTTGTACTCCGTCAATTACATTATTATATCATAATATGAATTATGTAGTTAATAACAATTACAATAAATTAAAAAAACACCTAATAATATTGTTTCTTTTTTAAAAATAGAAAATATATACAACAGATAATATATTTTAAAAGGGTAATGGTTTCTACATTCACACCAAAAAAAATACTGAGATACAAAAGTGATATATTCTATAAAATAGTTCTATATACAAAAGTTCAACAGTATTGACATTTCCGCTTCGCTTATGCAATTACCCCGCACCTTTAGTAATACGGTCCTCCCAGCTCCGCGGCCGCCGCCAACCTAAATGGAATTGAAACTGTGACAATTCAGTTTGCATTCTGCACTTTTTTCTTTACACCACTTCAATTGATTGAGTCCAACTCACTTTGTACATCTGACGGTGGATTCAATGCATCAAAGGATCGTCAACCAATATCTGTATAGGCGTTCTGTCTTTTGTGCCGTTTACAAACATTTTGCACTGTTGCTATAATGATTCTCTTTGCCATATTTGAATGAAATATACCTTTATAATAATGAATATGGCAAGAGTTCGTTTACCAAATTGACAGTTGCAACTTGATTAATGCAACTCTTGCATGTTCATATTTGGCTCATCCAATATCCAATGTCTATATATCTGTCCGTTTATTTCTTATATTTTTACGACTAGTATGGGTTTATTAATATAACATAGACAATCATAACACGAACAGAAATTAAACAGAAAACTAGTAAAATAGATGGTAAAATTTGATTATATGATAATGCATAATTTCCCAAGTTTAATTCAATAGAATAGTAGAGATAACTAAGAGGTAGAAATTAGAGATTCCTATGCGAATGAAGCTTCCAGCAACAGTCAGTTTTAATATAGATTATTTTTATGACGTAGGCATTTCACTAGAAATTTCAACAGGAACGCGAAACAAAGTATTCGCCAGCGAAACCTCTGTGTATTACATGTATTATTTCACAATTGTAATTAGTAGTAATTTTTATACTAGGAAAAAATGTTTTCTTATCTTATATATTTGTAGAAATAAAGTCACGGAGAGAGCGACTAAACTCACTCGTTCCACGAACTTTGGTCGAACATCCCCTTAGAAATTTCGAAAGAAGCTTAACGTACAGTTAACTTGTTCTGATTAAATTGTTCCGATAGTTGCTGTTAGTACGCAGCGTCAAGTATAATCCAACTATGAATATCTACTTAATAACAAAGATAGTTTCATATCATCTTACTTGAACTAAATTAATAAATTCCTATTTAATATTGGTATTGTTAACCCTTAATAGCCATTATTATGTAGTTAGCAATGACTTGTCCCGATTTCGCCCAGATATATATAACTCTATTAGTCTTGTATATATTTATGAAATATATTTATATAGACTACATCTAGCCCATTAAATCGGTACAGTGCCTCCGGAGTTTACTTTACTCATAACAAAATCACCTTTATCTTGATTAGTGTAGATTCCTATTTAGTTTAATATGGATCTGTTTTAATATGTTTACGAACTATTTTGAAGCAATACCTTATAACTATATGTAATTTTATTACTATACATACAACATTTTGTGAATATATTATTGCTATATTTTTATTGTTATTTTAGAAAAAATAACTAATTAGTATTTGGTTAAATGTTAAGATTTTTTTCATAAGAGAATTATTTTTCTACTCGTACCTACCTTAGTCATCTTAGTAATATGAATATATTCTAATATTCTTAATAAAATAATATAAATTGCATTATTGTTTATTTAATAAATAATACACGACACCATATATTAAAATATAAAGTAATTTGATTATTGACTAATTGTTTTTGACTGACTTTTGCTTAATCTGTATTAGTAGTTTTTAAATCATAAACAAATAAGCACATCACTATTTCATATAGCTGAAAATAGCATTCGAATTTTAAATAACTCGTTTGATCTTTAAAAATAAATGATAAACATGACTGGCAACTCAAAGGCAAGGAAAACAATTAGATATGGCATTGAGTTCGCTATTAAGTGCAGGGCACAAACGTATCTGAGAGCCAGTAATGGTGAGCACTTCAAACAGTGAGGGATTCAAAGAAATCATTATTCCGCGTGCTTCCTCGCGCGACCACTTGGAAATGTAAGCACGGGAGGAGTCGCGTAAATATCGATAACCATTTTTTCTTATGGGTGATAATGAATTGGTGCATATGCCTACGCTAACGGTTTGCACTGGCGGGACACCAGTGGTGGATGTTAAGCTGAGCATGAAGTCAGGACAATTAGCTCATCGTGACAAATTACAAGGAACTTATCACGATGGTTTCCAAGGGGAACCATCGTGATAACACGACTACTATTCTACTAACACAACATTACTAACAATCCCATTCTCCCGAACAATAGGTACTTATGAATACTAATAGAGGTAAATTTAATGGGGGAAAATAATTAAGATAGTAAAATATTGCCGAATGCATTGAGTTATTTGAAGTTAATGTACTTTTAACGTAAAAATAAAAATAAATACACAATAAAATAATATCGATAACTATAACGGTGCAACACCAGAGCAGGTACGCGTTCCGCCGCGGGTAACGAAGCTAATCTGTACTCGAGTGTCGACAATTTGAGGCGCAACAACAGAAAATAAGCAAGACTTAACCGCCCTATGGCGCTCTTAATCCAGAGTATAAATACACTCGACTCACTGTAATGAACCCGTTTTACAACGGTTTTGTTTACGATTCTTCCTTATTTGTAGGCCAGAGGTTTAATGGCGTCATATTTTGGGTTATTAAGGAAAGTTAAGGTCTGGATTTGACAATGAAATAAACCGAATTTAGGATGTTTAATTAACGTTTCCAAACTTTAGAAAATCGTTTTGTATGTTAAGTTTAATCATGTTTGTTCTTTCGATTTATTTAATCAATGATTTATTGGCTTATATTCTCTGAAAGGTTGTGAATCCTCAAATCTATATAAAATAAGACAGTACATTTTAGTGTTCCTCTAAAAGTTACAAGAAATATTTTTTTAATGCATGACTAATTAATGCAATGTCTAGATAGTTTAGTTATATTATAATCAGACTGTTGATTGAGTTTTATTTTTATAACTGTACATTACTAAACATTATTAAGCAGTACCGCTTCTCGGTAAACTAAGATGCTTCTCCATTTCCCTTCAGCAACACGAAACGCTTGGTCTGGAACTGTTTTGAAATTTGTAGTAATTATATTATACACTTTATTATAAGGCAGACTATACTTGACTAACTTCAAAGACCTGGTTCAGCTATCAGTAGTTTGCTTTGTAAGTTACGTTCCTGTTAGAAAAAAAGAGATATGGCTTAGATAACACAACATATTATTATGATTGTTTGTAGCATTTTCATATATCATCATTTATATGATTCATGCATAAAAATTATTTCACAGTCGTTCTTAAAGCGAATGGCCACAAATCACTTGAAAACCTTCCGGGCATTCCCGCAAATATTCAATATACGAGTATGAACAGCGACACATGCTTACAATATTACGCGTTTGGGAGAAATATTTTTTACTCATAAATTAAGTGTAGGATAGGAAAACGAGTTTTTCATACGGCAGTCGGTTAAACTCGCTACTTTATATTGCGAAATTAAACGCATAAATTACAACAGAGCGTTACACTCCCCCAAAAACTTTTCCCACTCCTTCTATAAAGTCATATGTAAACAAAATGTTTATGTAATTATGTTTATTACTAGTGAAATAATAATATGTTATTTCTTGAAAAAAAAAACTTCAATCACTTCGGGAGGAAACCTAATCAGTTGCGAAACATGTTTTATATGTTGGTGCAAAATTTACAACGACATAGCATAAATAACCACACTTAAAAAGAGAGTCGAATTGAAAATTTCATCTTTAAAAATTACAAAATATCTAAAGAAATAAATATACAGTAAAAGATTTGATTGTAAAATAGGTAATAGTGTATCGAAAAATGGTGCGGCTTTTACTCCGATTTGGGATGCTGTTTGGTACGTCGACACTTCTTACTTGATAATTTTCTTGGAAATTCTTGTAATGTGGAGCTAAGGATCTTCATTTTATAATCTGAAACTGTTGCAATTGTTTCTTATTTAATTATTTAAAAAATAAATATTTATTAAAAACGGCGAAATTAAGAGTTAATTTTATTCAAAGAATAAAATCGTACTTTTTATACTAAAAATAATCCATCTTGGTTTCGGTGATCATAACTGTAAACTAATGTAGTTTGGTTCTACAACTTTAATACAAATATCGCCAATCGTAACAGAAGTTATAAACAGGACGCAAACAAGCAAATAAATGTACACAATGAAGTCTGCATTGAGTGCAGTGCAACTGAGCAATGTAAACGGTTATCAGTTATACAAATGAAATATCTAAGACATAAAAGAATAATGTATACATATTATATAAAAGACATGATATTTGTGGCTACATGTCGGATGACGCTGATAAGAATTATCTTCTGTGCAAGCGTTTTTCTCGTTGCTATTATAATATCTCTTATTCCTGCAATTGTAAATATAAATCACCAACAACTAGAAAGATCCGTACGATATCCAACAGACATCAAATATATATTATTCTGGAGTCCACCTAAAGATAAAAAAAGAATGTACTTCTTAAAGGAGGGAACAGAATTTAATTCAGGACAAAGTTCGTTCATCCAACAAAAATGTCCTTTTATCAACTGCTATGTTACATATAATAGAAGTTTTTTGACAGATCTGAATAATTTTGACGCTGTCGTATTCAATGTAAAGGATCTTAGCAAAATAAGGATCGAGGACTTAACCGTTGCTAGATCTCCTCACCAGAAATACATTTTTAGATCCCAAGAGTCGTCGGAGAATTATCCTGTATGCAATTCCATGTACGACAACTTTTTCAATTTAACATGGACATACAAATTAAATTCTGATATACCGCAACCCTTTATTAACATTTACGACGCGTCCAACAAGTTAATAGGACCGAAAAAAAATATTCATTGGATTACAAAAATGAATCACACGGATAAATTTAAAAATAAAATTACAAACAAAAATAAAGCTGTATCTTGGATTGTTACTAAATGCAATTCCAAGAGTAAGCATCAAGATTTTGTGAGAGAATTTAGAAGTGAACTTGAAGGGTATAATCATACTATAGACACTTTTGGTCCTTGCACTGAAAATAAATGTCCGGATGGTAAAATTCACACATGCCACAAATTAATAGAGAAACATTATTTCTTCCAATTGATTCTAGAAAATTCCTTCGCGGAAGATTATGTAACTGAAAAAATTGTAAAATCCTTGATGCATTTTACAATACCGATTGTTTTGGGTGGGGCAGATTACACAAGGTAAGTCGTTATTATTTTGTATTAGAATATATATTTATTTAGTATTACAATCAATAATATTAATAATAATAAATACATATGTCAATAAATGATATGTATAATAAATATCAAAATATTAAAATAGAATTGAACAATTTAATCTAAAGTAAACATTTTATAACCTTAGTCTTGAATATTACACACACAAAATACATCGTATTATTACTTAAAATATGTACCTATATCTTAGGTATAACATTATTCTATAGGTATGTTCTTTTGGCACTATAGAATTTAGATAAACTTATAGTATGTACTTATTTCTTTGACAAAACCTGAATAATCAGAGTAGTTTCCGTTCATTTCAGATTTCTACCACCAGGGTCTTATATTAACGTCCAAAAATTTGGTTTAAAAAAACTGGGAGCTCTCATTGATTATCTTATAAAAAACCCACAAATGTACGAGTATTTCTTCGATTGGAAGAACCATTATTTCTATTCAGCCAGACCTACATTTCAAGTCTGTGATTTGTGTACTAAACTTAATCTGAACAACAGTATCGTTGTGAGAAGATATAAAAACTTTAGAAAGTGGTGGAATCCTGATTTTAAAGACACATGTCGCAGAATGCAGTTGCAAAGTATATTCAACACACAATAAGGAAATAAATAAATTATTCATTTTTATAGTTTGTATAAAAGTTATTATTAGGATAAAAACTTAGGATATTTATTCGTAGTATTTTATTACTAAATCTAAAAAAGTCTTAAGCTTTTATATATTTCAACTACAATTGCAAATAAAGTAACGATCCACCTGATGGTAAGTATTTACTGTGGCTTATACACCATACATGAGCAGCACATAGTATCACAGATCCGTAGTGCTGTTCATGAATCATAGGTAATTGTTACTGCTTACCATGAGGCGAGCTGTCAGCTTATTTGCAATTCCAACGTAGAAAAAACGCTGCTTAAAATATACTTACTTTAATTTATACCTGTGAATCTTATAAGCATACATCCTCAGGTTTGCATTAAAAGGGATCCCGGTATCACTCCCCCGGGGCGCATCTGTGATCGACGTCCCTTGCCGATTTATTATTGAATACTTTTTTATCCCCTCCCACTCCATTCTCTGACAATGCGACGAACTCCATCCATCTTGCCGAGTTTCTATGTTGTTTTTTTGAGATATCTTATTTCAATTTGAGCGTGATTTATTTCTTCTATCGCTTATTGATTTTATTGTGCTTTTTTAACGTTATTGAATTTATTTCAATATTTAATAAGCAATCCATTATTCTCAATAGCCATAGACATAGGTAAATGATAATAAATAGAAATGTAATAATGCACAAAATAATTTTAATAATAATAATATATCTTCACTACTATTATCCCAAATGGAGTAGTCTGAGAGGTTGTCTAACATTGAGATTAGGTGAACGCAACACTTGAAATGCTAACATTTCGCTAGGTATATTTAAATCCAACGTGGCCAAAACAACGAACCTTTTTTTTCAGTGCACGAACCTACCACAACCTCTAAGATTATTTTTGTTACATTTATGTATAGCTCTGGACAATTAGTTAGAAATTGATACGTATAGTACATATTTTGATTCAGATTTAACCTAACAACCTTTGTGATCCAAGTCTGGAAAAAAACAGGCCAAGAGGCCCTACTAAAAATATGTTATAACTTGTATTCAAAATATTTAAATATTTTATATATTTTGAGACACAATTTATATACAGAGCAAATTCATCATTTCAATAATATAGAAAAACAATTACAAAAAAATGCAGCTAATATTTGTTATAAACTTCTGTAAGTCTTGAATCACTCTAATTTAGTTAACGTATATGTTAAAACTATATGAAGTAACTGAAAATAATATAACCGTTATAGATATAGTTCATAACATACCGGAGTGGTCACTCGGGACGCAATAAGTTATTTAGCGCTGTCATCGCCTTCACTGTAACATGCGCTGTACAAAAATAATACAACATAAAATACGTTATACAATGTATAAATATTCAACATAGTGTTATAATTCAAACTTAGTCATTTATGTAAATATTAACATATATTTTTATACTAATATCATTATAACTATTACACTCATTTATATCTTAATAGTTTTTCAATGAGCTGATCGGTCAAAAATCTTCGTATCAATAAATATTTTTGGTTGACTCTCCTAAGATGGAAACGCCGTTAAAAAACTAACAGTAATCTTAATAAATGTAATAGGTTTATCCACAGTGATCTGTGGGCTCTGTGTATAATTAAAAACATATTCACCACAACGTTGACAGTGTACAATGCCTCTAGCTACCCTATTAACAGTAATAGTTATTAAAATATTAATATAAATATATACCTATATATAAAAAGGACTATAAAGCAAATTTAAGTATTAGAATTAATTTTTTTTAGAAAATGACAAAGAAATGCACTGATTGAAAACACGTAAGTGATATTTGCCTAATTGACTTATTATTTCTTATTATATGTTTTCTTGGAACTGACTTTTTATAAAAGGATGTACTTGAATGTGTAAGTAAATATTTTTTATACTTTTTATTATGTACTAAATCAAATCAAATCAAATCAGCAATAAATTATTCATGTACATTTTAACCTAGCCTACATACATACATTTTAGCCTGAACATCCAAATTTTCTACAATAATATTTTTTTATGAAAATGACGGCCTCGGTGGTCTATCAATTTCGCACAGCGCTTTACTTTCGATGGTAGCTGGTTTGATTCCTCGCACGGTATAACCATATTATATATTTGTAATTTTTTTTATTCTGGATGATGATGTTAGCGCAGGCGGGTGCACCACCGCCTGCGCTAACGGTTTACGCTGGCGGGGTAACAGTGGAGGATGATAAGATGAGCATGAAGTCAGGTCAGTTAGCCCACGTGACAAATTCACCAAGAATCACGATGGTTTCCAGGGGGAACCGCGTGGAGGTCAACCTTACATGGTATTCATGAGTGTATATGTAATATATGTATTCATGAGTAATTGATTACATTGGTCTGGTAATTTACAAAAAAAACATAAATACCCATAACACAAGCTCTTCTTAGCTTAGGACTAGATGGCGCTGTGTAAATTGTCCTGGTTTATTATTATTATTACCCACAGAGTTGGTCTGTAACAATTTTGCGCATTAAACGTATATTACAAGCTTCATTAGTTTCGTTCAAGTTGATTGCATGGAACTGTATCTAGAGCGAGAACTAACACTGGATTTGGGTACGTATTCAAAGCACCAGGTGCGTAGCGGTCTAGTAACACACATCCGCGCTATATATTGTCGAATCTCGCATTCAAATCCAATTGCAATCCCAACTGCAGCAGTTTAGTCCGTGTTCGTATGTCACAATAAAATTCAGTTGTGTTTTACTCTGGTAGAATTAGTTAAATGATCCTTTATGTGTGTATTAAAATAAATATTTTAATGAATGAGTATCGATATGTAAGTAATCATAGGTCTAATATAAATACAACACTATCTCAAACTTATACTATAACTATGTAACCCTTCCTATACGAGTGCATTTGAAATAAATATTTTTTGTTTCTATATAACAATAAAGAAGCGCATACAAGTACTTTTATTAACTGACCAAAGAGGTCAGTTTATGTTTTTTTTTTTTCAATTAATAGTATATGAATTAAAACTCGGTATCATATATATCATCATGTCCTTAATTAAGATTCATGCAGTCGTTTAGTTCTGAATAGGTAACAAATAGATAAACAGAAATATTTTCGAAGTCATCGATTTTATCCATACTACATTAATATGGAATTATGGATAAAATTGATGACTTCATTGTTAAAAATTTTAAAAATTACAATATTCTGTTCATATGGCACAGTTTGTTACATAGTAGGCATATTCTAATTTTATCAACTCGCGAGCCTCTTGAGGGCCTGACCAAGCATAATTCAAATTTCAGGCTCAGTAGCGCTCTCTGTACGAGTATGTGGAACGTCGAGAACTCTCGAATATTCATTAAGCTAGGCTTCATTATGTTTTACTATTCAGTATAAACCTCGATTAGTATATGTTATAAAGGAGTATGTTGTAGGTATGAATTAATTATGCAGTAATATCAACTACGACTATAACTGTTTTTTTTACATTTTCAACCCTTTTAAAATGGTGTTAAATGATTTAATTATTGTAAGGCTTTTTACAATATTACAATCAGGATTTTGCTTGTAGATTTCAATATTAATTATTTAATATATTAAGAAATAAATATATTAAAAATACTGAGCTGTTTAAAAAATAAAAACTGTCTTACAAGAAAATCTCATTATTTACTTCGGTTGAAAATGTATGTCAAATATAGGCCGTGGCTTCAAAAATTCACATAGCTTAAGTGTAAGTACTATTCTCGATCTACGGTTCAGGTAGAGTACAGTCGACAACTGGAGTGGAGTCCGTCCGTCTGGTTAGCATATCGCAGAGATCGCCTGCTCGAATATTCAACAGCTCTTTGTTGTTTGGGGACCCTACTTGCTCCTTCAGTATGGTAATTTGTGACGTCAGTTTGTTTGTTTGAGTCTGATTTCGAAAGCGTTTGATTTTGACGGCAATTTTAACGCCTAGTAATTAGATATTCAAGAGTAAATCAAAAGTTGGACACATTTTTTATTTGGAGCTCTCTTATGAATATTAATTATAAAATCTGTAGTAACAAATTAATTTTGAAGTATACTCAATTTATTTTGTAAGTAAATATATTTTTTCATAAATAATAATCGACTACTTTCTGAACGCAACAATAAAAAATAATATACTGCTAGTTCATAAATAATTAATTGATGATACGGATGAACTATGAAGAAAACTATTATTTTCAAAGTAAATAATAGTGTATTTTGAAGAAAATTCAAGCAAATTTCATTCCAGCAAAGTTTTAGTATTAAACAATCCTGCTCTACTCAATTGAAACCTAAATTACAACCAAAGAGGGAACTAGAACCCCTATTGGTGGTCTTTAGGGCAGCGACTTAAAAGTACCTATCAGTCAGGTGTTGCCCTTCATCTATAAAACCTAACGCTAGTTGAGAGTAAACTCTGACCGCAATTTTCATCTGTTATAAATGCCAGCTCCCAAAACCATCAGAATAGTTAAGAAAAGTACAGTTTTTTGTAATACTTCAGGCATAAATGCTGTAAATATATATATCAACTTACACCTATTATAAAATACCCCACAAAAACACCAACAGCCATTTTTGAAATGTCATCATTTTTATTACCTTAATGTCAAACAAGTGACAAAAGCTAACCTTTTACTCCTTTCTTAAGTATAACAATGAAGACAAAAGCGTAGAATATATTTTTCTGTTGTCTAGTCTGTAATTTGACACCTTTAAAGAAAGTATGTAGATATTTTTAATTGGATGGAAAATTTAATGCAAGCCAATAGACAATGACTCCTAACTAAAACCATAATGAATTTTTATTATAATAATTATTGTATTCCAGTACCCCGTCGAAAATATAAAATGTAAGCAATACTATGTTCAGACTATGAAAAAACTAGATAATTCTTTATCAAAGTCTATTCACGTACAAAAAAGTTCAAAAGTAACACACATAAAAAGAAACAAAATAATTACAGTCGATATATAAAAATCTTTCTCGGTTGATATTGATTTTAATTGTACTAACAACAGAAAGAGCATTTCAAATTACAGATTAGAATGTCGTTTCCTTGTATTATTCATATATGAGAGCACAATATTTTCTTTTTCAGCACCTCTCGGATAGCACCTCTCCAGCAAAGGTCCGGTATACCACCATTTCCTGAAATTCTCATAAACACTCTTCGTGTTAAACTTTCTCTCGTCGTGTAGATATTCGCAGAGTTTGCAGATTCCAATTGTGTTTTCTACTTCGTGGATTGTGTAGTGGTTACGCCAACGGAAAAAACGTTGGTACACAGCAGGATTTCGAATACTATAGTCGATAGTCGCAGCTAATTTTTCAACATTAGCTAATCTTGCGTTGATGTACGATCCCTCTGGTAGAAAGCTGAAAGATTTTTTTAACAAATTAAAAAAAAAATTCATTTTTATTTATTTTTCTTTATAATACATGAATAGGACTTGTCGTCTTTTGTAAATCTGATTTATTGGTTGTTCTTAAATTCAGAAAATATTCCACCTTAAAAACTTATAAAAAATCATCAATCACAGCGATATATCCACGTTACATATCACACAAAAATACAGCCATCGCCAATTATAAACTCATCTGTTAAAAAACATTCCAGTGATTCCATTTCCATTTTAACAATTTAGGTCTGTTTTTTGATAAATTAAGGTTAGCATAAAAAACCTCTTCATATTTATTAGAAAATGTAGTACAGTACATTTTTTCTAAAAAGCCTTATAGTCTATCCAAAAGAGAAAAATATTTTCTAGTGGGCAGTGGTAATAAAATGTAAACTACCTTATCTAATATTTTAATAATTATATGTCTTCAATCGCTTTACTAAGGTTAGCTCAAAAACTATTCTCAGAAATTTTAACACTAGCATTAAAATAAGACAAATATAAATCGGTTCATATAGAAAAAAATGTTCTGATATAATACACACAAAACTATACACTCGAATTATAAACTTGTTCCTTTTTTGAAAGTTACTTGAATATATAATTTATAAAAAATACTTACTGATCATAATTAGCACCGCCGTACACAATCGGCACTGCACCATAGTCATACCCTTTTAGTACTTCACTAGTAACATAATCTTCTGTAATGCTATCTTCATATGCTAAATAGAAATAGTAATCTCTCTCTATAGCTTTTAAACAACCTTCATCTGGACAACGTAACATTTTACACCCATAAACATCGAGAACTAATGAATGTTCTTTAAGAGCAAATTGTAGTTTTTTTGCAAACATCAATTTTTCAACAGTCACTCTAGTGTAGCATTTCTGCATTACCAATGCGACCGCTTTAGACTTTACTCTCATTTCTGCTATCTGTTTATTTGTCAATTCAGTCATATTTTTAATCCATTTCACATTCAAACTTGGAGCTATAACGTTGCCTTTGAAATCTTTAACTTCAATAAATGGACTGACGATATCTGAATGCAATTTGTATGACCAAGTGCAGTTAAAATAGTTATCCAGGTACAAGCTACAAATTGGTGTAGTGTCAGCAGATTCTCTGCCATAAAATATATACTTTTGTACAGTGTTCCTCTCTCTAGGCATTTCTTTGCTTTTTAACCGTCTAAGATCATTTACGTCGAAGACAATAGCGTCGAAGTTTCTATAGTCTTGATTTAGCAGGCTCCTCTTATTAGTGACATAACAGTTGTAATATGGGCAACTGTTGCTTATAAATGGTAATTGGCCCTCACCAAAAAGATTAACGCTCTCAGATACTGTCCAAGTTAGAATATATTTTAGATCTTTGTGAAATCTATCTTTACCGAAAAATACATCAGGATTTGGTAACCCTTGGATTCTTTCCTGATACTGTTCCATATCTGAGACTGTTGTATATGCCGTGTGAAATGTGTAAAACGCTAAAATCGCGTACATTACTAGGCCGGTAAAACTTATTAGGAAAAATAATTTAGCGAACGTTTCAGTCTTTATTATTAAGTACATTTTGTACCGTTGTATGTCGCGGTGGGAAAACAATGGACAGAATGACGATTGCATCTCGTTGGTTAACAAAGAAAGTACCGAGATATCTCATTAGCTGACGACAGTAAACAAGAAATTCTTTTAGTCACAAATAAACAATACGAATACCTGAATCAGACATGACAGTGAAATATATTGTTTTGTTTATGAAATTATATTTTAACATTTAAAAAAAATATATAAACATAGTTAAATTTCCTTACACTTTTTATTACTTATACATAAATATTAAACACCTACGGATTTAGTTTTTTATACTGTTTTTTAATCTACTAAATAAATCTTATAAGATTTATGTATCATTGCTTGTTAGTAACGACGGAGTTTCTAGAAAAATATACAATAGCAATGAAATGATAATAGTCTTGACTATCATAAAATGTATAAAAATAAACTACAAAGTATTATCGCTAAAATCTATCAAAAACACATATTTATATACCTTATTCTTTTTTAATTTTATCAACAGTTTTTCATTCCTTACATGTTAAAAGCACAAGACAAATATAAACAATTAGTATTATATATAAACGTACATGCGTACAGTCCCTTTGTGTTATACATTGACAACTTCACTTTGCATAACATTTGTACGTTTTCCCCTCAGACACCTAAAACGTTGAGGCTTCTCAAAAGAGATCCGTCTGTCTGTCTATTCGCAGCCAAAAAGCTCTCCAGAAAAATTTTCTATCAGTCGACGTCTCCCTCTATTTGCTAAGACCTGTTTCGTTAGACGTATTAAACGTTTCCATTGTCCATAATAGCAATCGATGGATAAAATATTTAACGTACGATATGTCTTTGGCACATCTAAATATTGTGCTAATAAATATAATCCTACAGATGAGAGAGAAAAATAATATGTAGTAATATTTATTCCTTATTAATGAATTGTCGTTTTAAAAATATTATTATTATTTGTCTTTAGTTTCGTCAACACCATACTTCAAATAAACAAACTTTATTATTTAAATTTTATACTTAACTATGGTACATTAATCATAAAAACAAAGCTCTAAAAGATATAATATTAAGTAGAAAATCCGTATATTTGAATGTTTATAAGTTTTTCTCATTTTTATTTTTAAATTAACCTATTTTTATTAGAAGTCCTATCAGTACTTTTTACGTGAAAAAGTATCCTTAGTATTTTAACACCTATCCTAGAAGTGGAAGGTATCCACCTAACCTAGGTAACCTATCGTTACAAATAACAGTATTTATAATATTGATAAGATTCAGCCGTGCCTTTGGTACGATTTTAATCTCGTATCGTATGCGTCAATGAGCACTTGCCACGCTCTTTGCATGTAGGACGTCGAGTCTTCGGCAAATATGGACATCGCGTATGAAGTCAAACAAAATTACGTATTCCATAAAAATATATACCCCTTTTGGGACACGTGACAACGCGAACGTACCGTGGCGGCATACAGCGTTTGTAGTTTACTGTTGACGAGTTAAAATATTTTGATGTCACAGCAGAAACCTCAGTGCTATTTAACAAAAACACAATTTGTCAACACGAACGGGAAAAATAAACATGACTCTACCTTCACTTACTGTATCAGTAATTATTTGTTAACTAATGTTAAAAATTAATAATGTTTACTTTTCTTAATAATTGTTCTGTACGTGTTTTTGTACCACCACCACCTCCTTGCAAATGGCTAGACCGATTAGAATGAAATTTTGTGCTTATTTCAATGGGTTCTGGATAGTTCAAATACATACCTTAGGAGGTGACGCTGATTTTTTATTGCCTTCTCAAAAAAAATTGGGCGGATCGATCAAACGACTGCCTGACTGGCCTTAGTATATTTTTACATTCTAATTGAAATACCAACAGGGAGAATTTAGTCAGCTTAAAATTATATATCTGCACCTAATCATACCTAAGGCACGCCCTAAGGTGAAACTTTAGTCTAGTATTAATATCTTCTAGGGTTTATTAAAAACTGGCAGTATCTCGTGGATATCTCGCCTCAGTAACATTGGATAAAAAATAACGCTATATATGATCTAGATTATATTATATTTGTACACTATATTTCTTTAAAATTCGTCCAACCATTTTAGCATGATTAGGGAAACAAACGTTACAAGAAATTTACAAACTTACTACTAATATGAAAACACACTCATTCATACTAATATGATAAATGCGAAAATGTTTCTCTGTTTCTCTGTTTGTTATAGGTATATTGTATAACGAGGTCGGATATAGGTTGTCTTCTATCTCAAGAAAGCAGACAAAGTTGCATGTAACAGCTAGTGATAATGTTACTGAGAATCCTATCATATATATATCAGATATATTTAAATCAAATAATAAAATAAACTCTGCGAATAAAATGTGAACCTTTATTTAAAATTGTTCATTTCGTTTGTGAATATCGAATATCCGAATAAAACCAATGGTAAAACCTAATATGTCACTTGATATTTCCCGTAGTTAATCTACCAGACATATCACTGTGGATGCAGTGTGTTTTATAAACAATGGCGACGAAATATCCATATTCAGAGACGAAATGTACCTTATTTTCATTTGCGTAATACTATATTGATATTATTTTTTGTAAACGGAAGTTTAATTTTATTTTCTATAGAGAGAGATGTACTGTTGATTTTATATAAGTGGATTGTACGAAGTGGATTGTAAGCTGTAGATTTTCTAACAATAATAATAATTGTATTGGTCCTTTTTAAATATTGAAATTTTATGGTACATGCAAATAAAGCATATTATTATTATTAATAAATAAATAAATGATACAGATAAAAAAATTAACTATTTTCTCTTTAATTCAATAAAATAAGTATTTAATAATAACTACTTCATTATTTTGTGCGTATATGCCATTGTTCTTTTTTATATAACTGGAATATCAAATTAGCTGATAGGAGCATACGGTCATAACGTCATTATGTAACATCCTGTTGCATTTTCATTTCAGTGGATCAATATATTATAACTTCGATACGCATCTACCTAGTATATTAAGATAGCGTTATGTGTATAGCTAATGTGCCTTTTTTTACAACAATTTGCTTCGCACGGGTGTACATGTATTATATATATATAAACGTTCCTCTAGAATCACTCTATCTATTTAAAAAAACCGCTTTAAAATCCGTTGCGTAGTTTTAAAGATTTAAGCATACATAGGAACGGACAGACAGCGACAGCGACTATATTTTATACTATGTAATGATAATGATAATTACGGCACTGGTTGCTGAGCAGCCAGTGTAAATTTGGATAATAATATTATATATATATATATATACATAGTATATAATACTATAGTAGACTAGGTACAAGATATGATCTATCTGTGTATCAATTTTCAATCAAATTTCATTTGAAAAAATCTAACCATTAATAAATGATTTAATAACAAACATTCTAACTGTTATATTCATAATAGCCTAACAGTAGTTTTAATTAAATTACAACATTTTCAATCGTGAAAAAAACAATCAATCATGTAAGTGTTATTCTGATATAATAGGTTTCTGCATTTCACACCAAACCACTATAATTACCGTGGTTAAGGGTAGTCAATTCGGATCCTAGAACTAGACAATTCATTAGTAGTGTTGTTCATTAGTCATCTAAGATAATTACATCGTAAACACACCTGCGCCTCGCTTTAGGCGAGATTTGTGGCCCACTTAGGGATGGTTATTATTCGTTTAGCCGAAAAACATCGATATATCGATGAGTTTTCGGTCTTCAATAATATTGACAAAAACGTCTTTCGAAGGATCCTATACTTGATGACTTAAAAAAGTCATTCGAATAGCAAAAAGATATGTTATCCAAGAATCTGATAAATACCTGATGACCTAAAAATAAAGTTCAATGTTATGAAGAAAAATTTATGTTCTGTGACATCAATGTTTTATAGATCAATATCGACATCGATGTTTTTCTAATACCGATCCTTAGCGCCACTGTCAAATGACTATAAACACGAACTGCGTCTACTTAACGGAATTCATTTTCAGTAAGTCGTGTATACAGTTTCATATTTAATATGATTTATTGTACAAAGCAATTAGTTTTGTGTATTTATAAAATAGTCAAAAATCTCAAGTTGAATACGTATTGTAACCAAATATCTATTTGAATCATAATTGTTCGCATAGATATATATATATATTACTAGCTGTGCCCGCGATTTCACCCGCATGAATGTACCGTTTCAACAAAATCTGTTCAGTATCATTTGCGTGAAGGAGTAACAAACATCCATCCATCCATTCTTCCATACACACAGTTTTTCGGGTTTATAATATTAGTAAGATATTGTGTTTTTTCTATTATATTTTTCTTAATATATTGTCTTTATATTTTCATAGAATTTATATGCAACATACCACAACATTCACTACTTATACAACAACATAATTAAAAAAATAAAATATATATTTACATATTAGTAGTAGTTATGCGGTGTATTGTAATAAATTCTAAAAATAAAAACAATATTTGTAAAAAAAGTACTGGTTTACCAGAAAAACATAATATATCTATCTAAAGAAATCTGATCAAAACATACAAATAAAAAAGATACAGATGCAACTGTGCAGCATTTGGTACATATGTGATACACAGACTGATCCGTATATAGCACATTTATTATGCAAATTCATGTGGTGAAAGCCCGGGTTACAAGCAAATGACTATTAGTATATAATTTCAGCAGCCTTATTACATAACTAGTTGCTAACAACTCATTTGTATCAGATTGAAACTGATAAATTTGTGATTTTTTTATTTCGGTTATATGACTAAAGGATTAGTTCATTATAGCTCTAAGTTT